GATAGATAGATAGATAGATAGATAGATAGATAGATAGATAGATAGATTACAGAAACACAGAGATATAATATATACATATCACTAGATCAAGAATGGGAAGATGACCTTAAAGATGATCATATCTATTCTTCCATTTTAAAGATGAGGAAACTGAGGTTTATAGAGGCTTTTTAGATAATGAGAAGTATAATGATAGAGTGGGAAAATCATTGGACTTGAAGTCCAGATGGACCCAGGTTCAGATTTTGCCTTGAATATTTACCAATTGTATGATTAGGGGTAAATAAATCCTTTAACACATCTGAATCTCAGTTTCCTCATACGCAAAATAGAGACTATAATAATACCTATAGTCCTCATCTCAAATAATTGTTGAGAAGATGAAATGAGCTCCTTTCCATAAGACTGCTTACAAAAAGCAAGCTACATAAGTATCTATTATTGTTATTAAGTAGCAGGAATATAATTAAAGCATATCCTCTGACTCCACATCTAGTGTTCTTTCTTTAGTGCTACATTTCCTATCATCAAATTCCATCATTATAAATAACATTGACTATAGTTATTCATTATCCAGGAACCAACGTCAATTTTAAATTTTGGTTTTTGTTTTCTAAATGTGTCTGTGTGTATGTGTTACAAATGAAAAATAAAAACTTCAAGCTCATTACCACTTACAAATCCCTCTAGAGAGCAAGGACTGGGTTTTATTCATCTTTGTATCTCTTATAGCATCTAATATGGTCTCAATTATTAGCATGTGCTTAATTAAGGAACTAGGAAGGAAAGACAGGTTCTTAAACCTGATATCTGAAGTTGAAGGTTGCCACCTGCTGGAAAGATCATGTCAGGACAAAAGGAATGGAGAAAAAAATTAATTTACAGTTATGTACCTTCATAGATCTATTTTTATTCTGCTGATTTAAATTGTTACCTGTATCTGGAAAAGCAAAAGATTGCTTGTGTATTCTGTACCTGAAAGAACATGTTTAGGGTATAAGCAATATTGTTACAATGAGTGAAATCTGTCCTCTCTTTAAAAAAAATTGTTATATAAATCAATAAATAAACAAGGCAGAAGCAAAACTGTGAGTACACTGACTCATGTAGTTTTAAGTTTCAGAATCTGAAGGCTCTCAGAGATAATCCAATCCAACCTCCTAATTTAACCCTAAATAGTAAGTAGCTAAGCTACAATTTGAGCAAAGGATTCTGACTGAAATTCCAGTGCTCTTTCCAGCAGACCACACAAACTCCCCAAATCTCCTTGTCACTTACATGTTGTTATAATTGTACACAATTATCATTGTACTTGAGATCACTGTACTTAGAGCTAACCCACTGATTTTACAGATAAAGAAACTAAGTCTCAAAGAGAGTAAGTGACTTGTCCAAGGTCACACAGCTATTAAGCAGCAAAACTTGGCTCTGTCCTCAGTCTATTGTGCTCTTTTTACTATCCATCATATTCACTACATATAGTATAGTAGATCCATCTACTATACATTGCCTGTTTTAAATTCCCCATACAAGAAGGGAAGGGCAAGAAAGAAGACTGGGGAGAAAAAAGAAAATGGTTGTGAGGATGGGGAAGAAGAAAAAAATTGATATTTAAGTCTTAGGGATGCAGTATAGATATTTGTTTTTATCAAAATTCATTTTAAAATGGCATATATTAATTTAATCATTTTCAAAGCTGGACCAAAAAAAGAACCTATTAAAATTTTATTAAAATTATATTTGTCATTATAGGCAAATACTATCTATAGATAATACAGATATTATACAGATAATATACAGATAATACAGATAGTATGGAAGTAGAGACTATGAAATTTTAGTGAATTAAGAATATCTATTTCAATTTGCTACAAAAACTTAACTTCTAAATATAACTGGAAGACCTTTGCCCTGGCTCTGCCCCCTGCCTGGCACACTCCTCACCTCTGCCACCTGACTCCTCTGGCTTGGTTCAAGACTTAGCTTAAACCCTACCTTCTGCACTTCCTCAGCCACTTTCTTATTGCTCCTCCCTCCTTGTGGGTGCCTTACCTCGGAGGTAGCTAGGTGGTGCAGTGGATAGAGCTTCAGATCCATAGCTTTAAGTGCCTGACTTTCAGAGGTACCTTGATGAGATCTCTTTAGTAATTGCTATTTTGTTTTAAACTTTCAAGAAATGAATAATGGTGTCTGTCCACGGAATACGGTGAACTTTAATAAAACTAAACATTTTCCATATCTTAATGTTCACTTGAATGTTAATATCTATCCATTTTGAGGTAGCTGACACACGTCTGTTGAATGTTTACATGAATATTGTAGTTAACATATGCGTGTTGAATTTTTACATGAGTGTTTGCAGAGGACTGGATATTCAATTTTTTGCATGTAAATAATGAGTGCTCTAAACTTTCTAAAATGTTAAATCTGTATTTCTACACAACCGCATTGCAACTTTAGCTTCTTCATATTTAAATGGAGAGAATAGTACTTGTACCTCTACCTCAATGAGTTTTTTAAATAAAATGTTTGTAATTGGCATGAGCTACTATTATAACCATGATATATTGATATTATTATTATTAACAATGGTAACTGAAGTTACAATAAAACTGTTAATATTTAAATCAACAGAATAGAAAATATGTAATGTACTCATTGAAAAGCTAAAAAGGATATTTCTTTTATTCTTGCCGTGACAATAATTTTTTTTAAATGTCAGCTCTTCCAGGATCCTGATCCAGTCTTTATACATGCCCTGGAGAATAAAAAACTGCTGCTGCATTGTAGTCGTGTTCAATTACTGTGACTGTTGTTATCATCTGCTTCGCACCTAGTAAGCACTCATTAAAGGCTTGTTGAATTGAACTGAATTATTAGAATACTTGTTAGCAGGATGAGCAGGCAGGCCCCGCACACAGGGTGCAAAGGACGAAAGAGAAGCACAGTGAGAAAGGAGGGTTGAATATAGAAAACAGAAATGGGAATAAATAGACAAGGAAACCTGAGAGTGACTTCAAGGGAGGTCCAGAAAAACTATGAGGACACTGTATATATAGAAACTATATTATTTAAATGTTAAGTGTCTTAGACCAAATTTGGCTGCATTACTGTCTGATGTTCACTTTATAAATAAAGACTTTCAAAGAAAAAATTAAGAGTTCATTAATGCACAGTCTCAAGCAGTACAGATATATATATATATATATGTATGTACATATACGTATATGCAGCAAGCCCTTTGAAAAGCAGCTACTCAAAGAACAGATTGCACAGATACTCAAAGGGAATGGGATATTGGTTTTGACAGTCACATCTGATTATACCATCAATTAGAATCATTCATTCATTAAGTAACAACATCTTAAAAAGAAAAAAAGGATACTAAATATTTTAAGTCATAGTATTATTGTTATCTATGGAATGATAAATTTGCTAAAATCTAGTACAATAAATAATTCCCAAAATTCCATTCAACTTGCCATGGGTACAGGGCTGATAAAAGCCTGCCACACTCTGAAGAGCTCCTTATCATATTTTGATAAAGAGTAGAAGAAAGTGGAAGAGATGGAATAACATTAACAAATACAAACTGAAGATGAAATTCATCTTTGTTTCATTCATCAAAACATTGTTCATTTCAACTGAAAACTAAAGATACATCTACAGTCAAAATTTCATCAAAGATATTAAAAGAATTTCAAAATATTTATTACCTTAAAAAGGTAGAATTTGTGGTCACCCTGTTGTCCAAGTTTATCTTGTAATTTCAGTATTAGGTGTTTGACCTGATCTGTTCGTGATGCTGTGATGAGAGGCTCTGCTTTCTGGATCTCTTCTACTAAGGCACTTACATCTGTACTGTAACATGTAAGAAAATATTGATTTTTCTATATAAATAAGAAAATATTGATTATTCTATACAAAAACAACATTGCACATACATTAAGTAAATGCAAAACTAAATTATTTTGTTAAGCAAAATTTTGACAAAATGATAAGTATATAATTATCTTGGAAGGCAGAGATTGTAAAAAAAACAGTCAGTAACAAATCATATTATTCTTCCTATAATTATCTCTGTCATGTTACTAACACAAATAAGATGAAGTGATCATTGGAAAATGCAAACATTGGTATAGTATGATCTTATTTTAAGTCTTTACTATTGACGGCAAGCACCTTGAGTTACCTTTTAGTAAACTGAATTTTTCATTTATCCACACTCATGCAAGTCAAGTCATCAGCCTTGTTATGTCATTGGTCCTCTCTGAGAATGAAGGACAAACAACAACAACCCATGCTACCTTCCTCGTAGCCAATCTAGTACAAGATTCACCTATAGACTGCCTAATGTTAAGATAACATACAATGATATTAATTCAGCCTAGCATAAAGAGCTAACCTCAAAACCAGGACAATGCCAGGACCACACCCCACATCTGACACATCCTGGCTGAGCGACTGTGATTAAGTTACTTCAAGACTCTAGACAACTCTATAAGGTTATATAAAAGTTGAAGAAAAGGTGCTTACCTGCATTGGTAGAGCAAATTTCCTCCCCAAGAAATTCCCTATATCAAGGAAATCACTAATCTTGTCTCTATCCATACGATGCAAGATCATAGGATTTAGAATTGGGAAGGACCTAAGAAGTAATCCAGCCAAACCCAAACCCTTCAATTTACAGATAAGGAAACCGAGGCACAGAAAGGTTAAATGACTCGTCCAAGGTTACACAGCTACTAAACAGGAAAATCAGGACCCAAACTCAGGTCTTCTGGTTCTAAATCCAGTATTCAACCTACTGCCTCATGTTCCCTCTTACCATTAACACACATCAACTGAACTCTTAGCATGTGCGAGGGACAGTGCTACTGGAGATATGAAAAGGAGACCACAGGAGCAACAAAGAATAAGTCTACTTCTCTGTTCCAGAAGTCATTCTTCAAGTATTTGAAAATATTTATTATTTTTTTCCATAAGTTTCATATTCTCCAAGTCAAACATTCCTGGCTCCCTCGAATTTTGCTCAGTTTGAGATGACTTTCAGATACTTCAGAAATCTAGTCACCTTCTTCTGGATATTTTCTGGTTATCAATGTCCTTCTCAAAGAACTGCACACAATCTATTATACCAGTCTGAGCTGCCCAGTATACACTGGGATTCATTCCCTGCCTATTAATATTCGATGAGTTGAAGTGAAGACTACTGGGCTGAGACTAAGGAGACCTTACTGGTCATGCCTCCTCTTCCTCTACCTTATGACCTTGGGTCACTACCTCTATCTAGGCCTCAGATTCTGGGGGTGAGGATAAGGATAGATCAGCTGCCTTCTTAAAGGCATCTAGATGATGCAGTAGATACAGTGTGAGGCCTGGAATCAGGAAGACTCATCTTCCTGAGTTCAAATCTGGTCTCAGACACTTACTAGCTGGGTGACCCTGGGCAAGTCACTTAATCCTGCTTGCCATAATGTCCTCATCTATAAAATGAACTGGAAAAGGAAATGGAAAACCACACAGTATCTTTGCCAAAAAAAACCAAACAAACCTAAATGGGGTCACGAAGAGTCTGAAACAACTGAAAAACAAGATGACTTCTAAAGGTGCCTTCCAACTTCAATCATCTAATTTTTGAATACTATACTTATATTAATATATATATGTACACACCCACACATATATACACACGTGTATATAAAACACATATATATTTTATATATATATACACATTAATACTATAACTGCATTCATTGCTGAATACTATACTTACATTACAATTGATTAAGATTACATTGGCTTTTTTTCCCATATTTTTGGCTAATACTGAGCTTGTGGTCAACAAAGGGTCCCAAGTCTTTTTCACATGAATCATTGCTACCCAGGTCTCATTTGTTCTGTAGATATGTAACTGATCTATTTAACCTAAATATAAATTTCTTCTAACCAATTTTGGCCACTGTTCTCACTTCCCAAAATGATTTTGAGTCCTGATTCTCTCATTTAGTTTAATATATATCCCTTCCCATCCTTTATCTTTGAGGTCATCTACAATTTCACAAGCGTGCCTTCTAGGCCATCATGCTGTTCCTTGGAGGCAGCTAGGTACTGCATGAGATAGAGCACTGGGCCTAGAATCAGAAACATCTGAATTCAAATCAGGCCTCAGACACTAGGGGTATGACCATGGGAAAGTCACTTAACCTCTGTCTGCTTCAGTTTCCTTAACTGTAAAATAGTCATAATAACAGTGCCTAGTTTGCAGGCTTGTTTTGAGATAGTTTTTGTAAAGCACTTAGCACAGTATCTGACACATAGTAGGTTCTAAATAAATGCTATTCCCTACCCTTTCCCCTCTCCCAACCCCAATGACAAAGTTGAATATGACATGCCCAAGGGCAGAGAACCTCGTGACATGCCACTATTCAGCCAATCAATTAATGAAAATGTAATTTGATCATCCATCACATAGAGATAAAATGACTTTGCCAATTTTTTTCTACTGAAATCAAGATGTTCTATGTCTTTAGCATTTTTTTACTACCCTCTAACCTTATCCAAAAATAAAAAAAAAAGGAAGAAAGAAATGAGGTTTGTTTGGCATTACACTCTCCAATTACACGTAAAAACAATTTTAACATTCATTTCTTTAAATTCTGAGCTCCAAATTTTCTCCCTCCCCCTCCTTTGAGAAGGCAAGCAATTTAAAATAGATTATATAGGCATGACATTCTTAATGACCCTGATTCCTAGTGAGTAACTCTTTTTTCCCCTAAGTGCTTACAAATCATCTCTCTAATCTAATTTTGAATTTTGCTGAGGACTAATTTCCAATATTATGATCATTCTTCTCCTTCACGGAAATGATGAAAACATAATAGAAATTCAGTACTTCTGCTTTCTCTCTGTCATCTGCTAAGGTTTTTCATCTTCCCCAAGCAGTGGTCTATCCTTGACTTGGTTTGTCTGTTTGAAATTTAGGCTTAAAATACCTCATATTTTTGTTATCTTCTACATTTTTTTCTAAAATCTCAGCCCATTACGGACTTTTGCCTGTATGCCATTAGTCTTAGACCTTTGTAACAGGGATTTGTTCTAAGTTATACGTGCTTCCTTCATCTTGTATGTGTGTGTTTTAATCTGAGTTCAGTAGAGAATTATGTATGTAGCCATGTCATTTTCCTTAGCTTTCTTCCTCTTCTTGTCCTCTTGGAGATTATTTGCAATTGTAAAGTCAGAAATGCATTCTGTAGAATCTCTCATTGTTTTTAACCTACACTTTTTTATGGAGTCAGGCCATAGATATATCCAACTTTTCATTAAATTTTTTGAAATCTGCTTTCATAGTGTCTGCTTGTGCCCCTCCTTGCTTCTATCTCCTCTTATCTCCTTCAGGGGCTTAACTGGACCCTTGCCATCTGGCTACAAATATACAAACTCGTTCAGTTCTCCTATTAAAAGAAACAAATCTTCCCCTGACACCGCCATCTCCTCAAGCTAACGTTCTCTGTCATTTCCCATTTCCCTGAGAAATTTCTACAAATATTGGTCTGTACTTGCTGCGTCAATTTCCTCACTATCCATTCAATGCTTGGCTCTTTGTAATCTGGATTGCCCTTGTTGCCCAAGTCCTGCCTTGTGGACTTCAAAAAACTTTCCTCGATGCACAGGACTTATCTTCTCACCCTGGAACATTCAACTTGCCCTGTGATTTACTCAACCAGGAACATCCCTCAGCAAACTGTGTCCTCTTCTCCCACTGGTGAGCTCCTCCTGGGGCCTCCATTTTGTGTAGGGGCCCAAGCTAGCCTTCATGGTCCTCAACTTCCCCCATCCCAGCTTTGATAATATTGTGGGACAGCATAAGAAATGAAATGGGAATCTTGGGAGAGTTTTGTGGAAGCCACAGATGGCACATGAAGGCCAACAGATGACACAGAGCCTATGACCAAATACTTAACCCAGATTTTACAATAAGGCATGGTAAATACCCCCTGAAAGAAAAATAAAAAATTCAGACTTCTTCTCTGGTATGAAAGGAGGGTCAAAAAATTTTATGTGGATTTTCTACATCGTGGGGGTGCTGCATCCCTAACCCCTGAGATGTGGAAGGGATAACTACACTTAAAACTACGTTCTTGGCGCTGTACCTTCATCTCCCAAGCTCTCTTGCTTTTTCTGCTTCCATGTGTGTGTTGTATTCCCTATCAGAATGTAAGCTCCTTGATGGGGTGGACTTTCCTTATATTATATCCCTAGCACTGAGTACAATGTGGAGCTCACAGTAAGTGCTTAATAAATGCATGTTTTCTTTCTTCCTTTAGTCTTTACTGCTCTACTAAAGTTGTTCTGTTCACACGGCTATCAAACAATTAGTGATCTCTGTTTCTTGCTCAACTGAATAGCTTGTTAAAAATCTTCCTTTTGTATATTTTTGCAACACTGCATGCTATTGCCCCATTCCCCCGCCACCACCCAACCACGCTCACCTCCTGCTCTCTCTTGTTTCTCTTCCTACCTGTCTAACTACTTATTCTCAAACCTTTGATGGTTCACTGTCTTTCTTCTACCACCTGAGCACCCCAGTATGCTCCCCTAGGCCTTCTCTTTATATATCTTCTTTCCTACAGATTTCATCTACTTTCATGGGTCTAATTAAAGCCTCTATACAATTGCTTCCCAATTTACATATCTAGTCGTCATCTCTCTCCTGAACTCTAGTACTGCACCTTCTACTGCATGCTGGACACTACTACATGGGGAGCCTATAGAAACCTCAAACTCCACAGTCTCTCCTCAACCTGGCCCTCCTTCCAACTTCTCTATTTCTACTGATGGTACCACCATTCTATAGGTCAGTCAGGCTAAAAACCTCAGATCCTTCTTCCTCTCCTGCACACGTCAAATAAGTTCCTAAATCCTTGTGGTTCCAACCCTAACCCAACACTTCTCACATCCCTCCCGCTCTCTCGATTCATGTTGCTGACACCCTAGTTCAGGCCTTCATCTGATTTTGTACTGGCTTCCTCAAATGTCTCCTCCCTTGAGTCTCCCCCCATGCTACCAACTCTTCACATGGCTACCAAAATAACACAAGCTTCCTGTGAGTAGGAATTGCTTCATTCTTTATATTTCTAACCCTGACATCTAGCACAGTGTCTGGTGCATCCCCAATGGTCAACAAAATGTTCTTTTACTGATTGCTTGATTCCTATAACACCACATCTGGCCATATCTCTCCTCTACTCAAAAATCTCCTGGTATCTTTAATGGCTCCAAGAGTTAATTAAATTCATCAGGCATTTATTAATTGCCAACTATGCAAGGCACCAAATAAAGTTCTCTCTCCTCTCAAGGAGCTTACATTGCAGACTTGTGTGGGAGATGGAAGACAAAAGGAATATAGAAAAAGTAGGTAAAAGGTACATACAAAAGTAACCCAAAGACATGTCAGGGACAGCACTGACTATAAGGGAGATCCTGAAAGACCTCCTGTAGGATTCGACATGTGAGCTGAACTTTGAAGCTAAGCACTCTAAGCCATTAAAAAAAAAAACATGGAGGCAGGATAGGATTATTCTTTATATCCCCTATAGCATCTACAAGAGTGTTTTGGAGGATGAAATGTCCTGCATAAGTGTCTAGAACAGAATGAATTATGAATATAACACAATGACCAAGAAATGCAAAGGAAGGCCTCCTACTCTTTGGGCAGATTCTCTATCTATGGAGGATTTAGAAAAAAAAAAAAGATGAGCAGGAATAGCACAGGATGGTAAGGCGTGTGTGGGCTGTAGCATGCGCTGGTAGAGGGAAGATCCCCATCAGTGGGAAGGGAGATAGACTAATGTAAAAACATGTGGCCCAATGAGTGTGCCAAAACAGAAAACTAAGAAAAATGTTAATGAGTTATTAATTATGTTATGATTAAAGGCATAATTTTCTATCCTTAGAGGTTTGGTTTTTTTTTTCTACCATCCTTTCTGCTACCTGCCCAGTTCGGATTCCCCACTGATCTTTAGCAAGACTAAAACTTTGACTTCATCACTAAGTCAATACTAATGAAATATGAATATGAAAATATGAAAAAATTCTTAGTCAGCAGAAAAACAATCAGGCACAATTCAAACTTTATTCCATTTACTCATCCTTCAGTTTTCCCTGTAAGTTCTGCCAGTCAGCTGGTTGTGTGTGCTGGGGCTGAGTAGGAGTTTCTACTAAATCTTTTGTGCTCTAGGGGATTCCAGAAATAGGGAGGAGCCTCGCAAGTGAGGGCTTTTCCCTGAACTGAAAGTCAAGCCCTGAGAATAACTCAACTTGATTTGTTTCCGTTGGCACCCCAACTCTATAATGATCTGGTATGATACGATGAAGAGGTGCAATGAAGAGGACAACGTCATTGTCTATAAGGTAGACATACTCCATGTATGCTCACAGCACAGCCCCAAATGGATATATGGCCAGAGAAATAATCTTCAGCATAATCCTAATGATTTCCTAGTTCAGCAGCCAAGTGTAAGCTCTCTTTGGACAACTCTGAGACCATAATTGGTGCTAGTAACAAAGATGTTTGTCAGTCTCTCCCTTACCCCAACAATGAATGTGGAAAGATCAATATCATTTTAGAAATGGCCTCTTCCATGCTGTCTGTGATGCTTGGAAGTGGCCTCTGACCCTCCCCAGATGTAGGGCTAGTATAAAGCAGCTCCAGGGACTGGGAGGGGTCTATCATTACTCTACAGGGCTTAATGGAAATGTGGGAGAGGAGTCATTTCTTTGATCGATACTACTCGCCCTGCTGTTCTCTTCTTACTGTATAGAGATGTGATTATAAACTAATGAAACACATTCTCGAGTCGGTAGTATGGAATACGAAGGTGTAAACATTCATATTTATATCCACTATGTCTCTCACCTACGTTACATTGATTGTTGAACATTAAATCTCCATTAAATGACAGATTTTTTTTAGAGATCACACCTTGGGCAAACGCCAAGGAACATGGTTACTCTAAGCTATATGGGATTCACAGTTTTTCTTAGGGAGCACAGCAAGCTATATGGACCCAATTTATGTCTCCTTATGATACTTTTAATGGACCTGGAAGTCTTATTTGCACAGAAAGTTGACTCTGAAGGGACTTTAGAAATCAGCTGATACAAACCCATAATTTTATAGTGATGAAACTGAAATCCAAAGAGGTTGTAAGTTGGCCAAGGCCATGCAGCTAGAGGAGCAGCCCTGGGTCTCTGAAATCCCAGGACCTTTTGACTAGAAGTCATGCAAAAAAGTCAGAGTTTTGTTTTAGGGGGGTTTTGTTTTTTTGTTTTTGTTTTTGTTTTTAGCAGTTTATCACTTGTATCCAGCAAGACACTGAGCAGAAATGAATATATCAAGGGACAGACACAAAGAGTGCCCCTTCTCCTATTGTTCCCTAAAAAAGCTCCACCCCTATCAAAAGAGGAAAAGGGAACACAATATGCCCATTTGGATTTTATTTGAGGTTTATTCTGTACGCCCATGGATCACCCAAAGTCTATTAACTAATATAATCAACAAGGTAGGATTTTTTTTCTAATATTACTTGAACTTACATGCCATCATGTTAACTAGATCACTTACTTGGGACTGAGATCGAGTAAGTCTATGGATCTGGTCTTTAACTCTCCACCTTTTTCATATTCCAGAATGATACCTGTAAAAACAATCACAATTTAGAATATCGCTGATACTGCAGTAGATGCTGTCTTTGATTTGGAGTCAGGAAGAGACTTGAGTTCAAATCCTGCCTCAGATACTTACTAGCTGTTATGACCCTGAGCTAATCACTTGACCTCTTTCTGCCTCAATTTTCTCATCTGAAAAATGAGGATAATAATAGCACCTACATCACAGGGATGTTATGAGGATGAAATGAAATAACATAAAAAAGTACTTCATAAACCTTAAAGTACTATGTAAATGCTAACTATTATTATTATTATTATTATACATTTTCATTACTAATTACTCACATTTCAAAGTAGAAGTCTGTGCTAGTATAGCCTTTGAGAATATGGGATCATTTCCATGTGACCATGAAGGGAAAAAATTCTAGACTAGAGCAAGTAAACATAGAAGGCCATAACAAAAGTGATACATTTTTGAAGCATCAAAGACTCAATTATTAAGGTATCCCTGAATAACAGAAGATACAAAAATGTTGGGGGGGAATCTTAGGCCTTATTAGTACCCTGACACCCCCACAAAAAAAAACTGAGAGAATATAAATAAGCACTAATCCTTCCTATTGTAACATTTCTTTAAAAAAAAAACTTTTTCTGAGAATAATCTGTAAATTACCACATCTTCATTTAAGTTACAAAACTCATTTATGACCCCCAGCTTTCTGTGAAAGCAAAACCCCATTTTTAATGCTAATATTCTCCTGCTCTTGCTGTATGGTAAGTACACAATATTTTCCAAAGAATTAAAATGAGCATCACACAGAATGTAGTGAATGGAGAGCAGTATGGTAGGCATGGGCAGAGTGCTACATATAATAAATGAGGGCCATCAAAAGCTATGAGAAAAAGATGTCATCAACCTCTGGAACATTGTAGAATGACATCCATAACGACTCAGGTCCCTTGCTCAACATGTTTACTGCATACCAGTACTAGTTATTCTCAAAATCTAAAGGAGAAGTAGAGGGATCAGTAAAAATGAGTAAACAGATAGAGAGGTTGAGGGAGAACGGGTAAATTATATTTGTGAATGTCAGTGGTACCAATAAAATTTTATATCCAAATGAAAATGTTAAAGTCCTAATGACTTTGAAAAAATGCTTTTATTCATACAAAGTATTAAGTTGTGAAAATAGTATGGTTTCATTCTTTATAGCCATTGTTCACTTATATTTTGTGTCTCTTTTCTACCTTTTGCCTCTAAGTATGGATTTTTCTCATGGATAAGGTTCTTTTCCTTGTGCTTTTCATTCTCCAGAAACTCTCAAGAATTCATCAGCTCTCACAGATTCAACTATCATCTCTATGTGAAAGACTCTCAAACTAAATCTCTAGTCCTGCCCAATCTTTTGAACTCCAATCCTATATTTCTGCATAGATCACCGCAAATTCAGCAAGTCTAAAGTGGAACTCATCATTTTACCACCACTAGCACCCCCGCCATCTTTCTCTCTTGACCTTTGTAATTGCTATTAATGGTTGCCTTATTTTCTCAGTCATGCAGCCTCGAAATTTGGGAATCATCTTTGATTGTTCCTTCCAGCTCTTCCCCCTTAGCTCCTGTAGCTGAATACAGACCAAATCCTATGAATTTTTCCCTCAAAATGTCTCTAAGACATTGGTCCATGAGTCCATGAACTCCCAAGGGGTCTGTGGATAAATTTCAAGGGGTCAGTAACTTTGGATGGGAAAAAAAAAACTACGTCTTTATTCCAGTAGAATTAGTTTCCTTTTTAATGCTATCAATATTTTATTTTATGCATTTAAAATCACTGCCCTAATCCACAGGCTTTACCAGACTGCCAAAGGGGTCTATGACATAAAAATGGTGAAGAACCCTACTTCAGGATCTATCCCTTGCAATTGCCACCAACCAAGTTCAGGCTTTTATCAGTCCACATTTAAACCACTACAGCAGCCTCCAGAACAGCCCCTCACATCCTAAAAACAAACCATGGTATATAGCAAATCACTGGACTTTAGAGCCAAAGGGAGCTCTTCAAGGTAACCTAGTTCAGCTTCCTTTATTTTACAAATTAGAAAATGCAGACCGAACGAACTGAGCAAGATCACATAGAGCCAAGACTACTCTATAAAATCCATTTGCCTGACATTCAAGGCCCTCCACACTCTGCCTCCAAACTTCCCAAGCCTTATTTCTCAATCTTCACTGTGTCTCCTCCTATCAGAATGGTCTACTCACTGTCCTATCAACTAGCCTCAGAAGACATTGATATGCAAACCAGAATGTCCATTCAACTTTCCTACCTTTGTTCATACCATTCTTCCCACTTGGAACAGCCTCCCTTCCCACCTAACTAAATACTCATTCTTCAAAGCTTTCTCAAGCTAATCCAACCTACACAGATCTCACCCTCCTCTGAGATCATACCCTTGTTGCCTCTATCACTTATTTAGCAATTAATTAATCAAGTCCTGCCTGGTGACATATTATATATTATTGTCTTAGGCATTATTTAAATCTTGTTAATAAAACTTTTCTTGTAAGCGCTGAATCTAAGAATTGTGACATAGCTTCCTCACTCTCTGTATGACTATGACTTTTAATTATTCTGGGATTCAGTTTCACAACCTGTACTGTTCAATTCAAGTAATTCACGCTTATTGAAACTGGATTTAATAAACCTTCAAGAAGTTCTAGAAAGTTCCTTCAAGATCTAAAAGTCTGTTGATGTTTTCTGTGTATATGTCTTCTCTCCCTAGGTAGCTTGTAGTCTTATTGAAGATAGGCTTTTTTCCATTCTCCTACAAGACCAAATACTGTGTTTCATACATAAATAGGTACTGAACACGTTTGCTGATTGATTACATTTAGATCCCACCAATATTACACGGTAGGGATTTATTAAGTGCCTTCCAAGTGGAAGGTACTGTGCCTTGAATGTATTCATTAATTTGTTTACAAATATATACTCATGTATGTTTACATGAATCTATGTATACATAGTTAGGCAGAACCCTCAAGCACATCCTCAAGACATCAGGAGAAAAGGAGGGACTTATAGGAGATCACAGACAAGTGAGGCCTAGACATAATAGGCTGCACTATGTGTCATTGGAAGGAATACCCACATCAATGATATCACAGACACATTTACATACATGCATAATACACCTGTATACATATTTATATATAGGCACACATACCTGTATGTGTGCATGGATGCATACCATACGTGGGCAGCATGGTGGTGGCTAAAGAGGTAGGTTTTAAGAGCTTAAGAGTCAGGAAAACCAAGATTGATGTTCCATTTTTGACATTGGCTATGTGACCCTGGCCAGGATGTTTAACCTCTGCATTCCCTGGTCACTTTGCTAAGATTGTAAGTTGCAGGACAGGGGCTGGTCCACATTGATAGAGGGTGAGTTTCCTAGTAGAGTTAGAGTTTCCTGATCAGGAGATCGCCATAGTACAGATGTGGTCCCAAAACATAGGTACGTCATTATTCTCTTATTATACTTGACAAACACTGGCCTAGGAAATCTAGCCTAGTTTAAACAAGAAAGCATGCCCACCTTTTACTCTACTTGCATTTGTGAAGAACTGATATCATTGGTTCTCGATGCTGGAGCTGGAGAAACCTCAGCACCCACTAGTCCAACCTCCTCCTTTTACAGATAAGGACCTGGAAGTCTAGGAACATAAAAATGGCTTGCCCCAATGTCACAAATAAGTGTCACAGGTAGGATTTGAATCCAGGTCCTCTAGACTCCAAAGCTAGTATTCTTTCCCCATAACCTTCATGCTTTCTCTCAGTTCATCAAACAAACAAGATGTGTTGTACACTATTTTTTTCTTGTAATCCCATCTGCTCAGTGGTCCTGGTTTCCTCATTTGAAAATAAGATGGTTTGTGGGGCATATAGGTGGTGCAGTGGATAGAGCACCACCCTTGGAGTCAGGAGGGCCTGAGTTCAAATCCAGCCTCAGACACTTGACACTTACTAGTTGTGTGACCCTGGGCAACTCACTTAACCCCATTGCCTAGCCAAAAAGCAAAAAAAAAAAAAAAAAAAGATAGCTTGACAAAACCTCAATTTCCCTTCCAATTCTACATGGCACCTTTGTATACACCCCCAATCTTAAGGTCTGAGTGTTCATGTCTGTTGGGAGGTGGGAGGAGTGGCTGGGCAGGAGAACCACCTTAAGAGGAGACAGTAGAGTCTCTTCACTCCCTAGCCTAAACAGTGAATCAGGTACCTCGAGTGTTGTGTAAAATAAAATGATACCATCCTCCTAGACTTCGCTCAGTTTATCAGCTCCTCCACCTTTCCAGCAAGGTAAGGAGCTCTGGACTTGAAATCAAGAAGATCTGAGTTTAAATTCCACCACTGACATGCACTGGCTGTGTCAGTGAATCAGTGAACGACCATTTCTTTAACAGCTTACCTCTATGTGCCAGGCACTGTGCTGACAGAAGTCGACACAAAGAAAAACAAACACAGGGTACCTGCCCTCAAAGAGTTTACATTCTAATGATGAAGACAATATGTAAATAACAAGATATATACAAGATATATTTAGTATAAACTGAAGGTAATCGCAGAGGGAAGGCTCTTGAGAGGAAGAGGAGGAGGGTGGGAAAGGTCTCCTGCCAAGATAGCATTGAACTGAATCTTGAACGAAACCAGGAGGCAGAGATGAGGAGGGAGAGCATTCCAGGCACTGGGGTTAACAAGCTAAATAAGAAGATAGATAGATAGATAGATAGAGAGAGAGAGAGAGAGAGAGAGAGAGAGAGAGAGAGAGATGGATGGATAGATGGATAAATGGATGGATGGATGGATGGATGGATGGATAGATGGATAGATGGATGGATGGATGGATGGATGGATGGATGGAAAGACATAGATAGATAGATAGAGAGAGAGAGATGGATGAATAGATGGATAGATAGATGGATGGATAGATGGATGGATGGATGGATGGATGGACGGATGGATGGATGGATGGATGGATGGATGGATGGATGGATGGATGGAAAGACATAGATAGATAGATAAAAACTTAGAGATGAGAGTGTGTAGTGTTCAAGAAACTACAAATAGATGGACATTGTTGGGTCATTGAATTTTCAGAGTGAAGTATAAGACTGGAAAGAAAGGATGGGGGCAGGTTGTGAAGGGCTTTAAAGGCCACTTAGAGCATTTTATATTTGATTCTGGAGGTAATAGGGAGCCTTGGAGATTATTGAGGGTGAAGAAAGGGGGGAGGGTGACATAATCAGACTTTCGTTTTAGGAAAAGAGCTTCGGCACCCAAGGGGAAGCTGGATTGGAGTGAGGGGAGAGACTCGAGCAGGAAGCCACTGGGTTTGTCTCAGCCTCAGTCTCCTAACCTATAAAATGAGGAAGTTGAACCCAATAGCCTCCAAGGTCCTTTCCAGCTCCAAACCTATGAGTTTAAGTCCCTTGACCTCTCTGGGACTCAGTTTCCTAGCCTAAAAAAGTTTTTGGGGGACGCTTGTGCTTTCCTGCTTCCAGTCCCGGGCCAGGGCTCCCCAGTTCCCCCCTTGCCGCGGTGGGTGGGACGCCCCCTCCCCAAATGCCGCCTCCCCTCCGCTCCCTAGGCCCCCACCCTCCAACCCCATCCCGCCCCCCAGCCCGCTAGGGACCCGGCTTTGTCCTCTAACTCCCAGTCGGGTGCCCTCCAGGACTTTTCCCCTGATAGGTGACTCCCCGTCCAGGGTGAGGACACTGAAGACGGCGGTACCTGGTGGATAATATCGGAGCAGGAGCCTTTTAAGCTTCATTCTCTCGCTCACGGAGCACTGGCCAGAGGCCTCCATCGCCATGGCAACCGCCTAACAGAAGCTCCCCGGTAGGTCAACGCTTGCGCATGCGCCCAAAGGGGCGCCCCTCACTGAGGGTGGTGGTTCGTGGGATCCAGGGCACCTGTCCGCGAATTCCCTTTCTGGAGCCAGCGGAGGGCTCTCAAGTCTGCCCTGAGCAGGCTGCAGGGGAGGGTTCGTCCCCTCTTTTGGGGGTCCTGGACCCTTTATGACATTCCACTACTACAGCATCCTCTGGACCCCTTCTCAGAATTCTGTTTTTAAATGCATAAAGTAAAATGCATGGAAACCAACTATGTTGAAACACAGTTTTCAAAATGTTAATTAAAACAAGTTCACGGACGCCAGGTTAAAAACCGCCATCCTAGATGTTGCTGGGGGAAGCCTCTGGAGGGTCTCTACGTGTCCTTGCCTGCCTCATTGGAAAGATGATTTCCTCTCCCCAACCCCGACTAACACTCTACCTAGCCTAGCCTAAGATCAAAGCCTGGCAGTGTTTGCTGTGCACTAACCCGGCACGATTCTGTTCACTCTGACCACAGCTGTGTGACCTTTGCATAACACCTAAACTCTTTGTACCTCAGTATCTTCCTCCGCAAAATAGAGATAACAATAGCACCTATTTCGCAGGGTAGTAAGAAGGATCTAACAGATAATCCAGGGTGTTCCAAAAGTCTTAATGATGTCTGAATCTATTACTCCAAACTCCAAACATCACTAAGACTTTTGAGGCATCGTGAATCTGTAAAGCACTTTTCAGATCTTAAAGCTATATAAATGCTAGCTGCTATTATTGTTGTTGTTGTTATCCCAATATCTTAGATTTATATAATCTCATTCTGCGGAAAAGGAAACTGAGACCCAGAGAGAGAATGGTGTCTGAGGCAGGATTTAAACTCTGAATTTTTTATTTCACCTGCAACTCTCTAGTCACTCCACCTTATTACTTGCTTTGCTTACTTAACTGGGCTGATTACACCCAGGATTTGGGAGTGAGATATCTGAGTCTTAGATCTCTGAGCTTTGGATTGTCGCTGAAAATTCATCAGGCTTATTTGGCTACTTATTAGGTGTGCTATTTTTAGGTGTGAATTTTTAGAAGCAAAACAGAGAGAGAGAAGAAAACTTAGAGAACTTATTTCAACCATCTCTCATTTAATATATGGAGAAACTGAGGCCAAAGACAATAAATCAGTGAATTTTCAGTTTTCATTCCTAAGCAGCTGCCTTTCTTTACGGTAACCCCAGTCCCCACTCAGCATTCTCTTTCCATGATAAAATAAAGCCCAAGTATAGACTTGTGGAATAATCAGAAATAGATCGTAAGGCTAGGAAAGGAATACTACAGTCAAATCAGTACTAATTATTCCATTCATTTCTCTTCCTTTTGCAGATTACAGACTGCATTTTGGCTTACTCACAGCTCATAAGACTTTGGGAAGATTCTACTGGCAGGGAAGAAGGGAAGAGGGGAAGATAAAAAGAGGATCCAGAGGTGTTTACCAAAGGATGCTTCCTCCTTTATAAGATAAAAAATATTGGACTATGGCCCCTTAGAGATTGTGTGTGTGTGTTTGTGTGGGTGGGTGGGTGGGTGTGTGCACACATGCACACGTGCTTATCTAATAGCTCAGATAAAAGGTGTGAATGATGGAGTGTGAGGTGGTGAAACTCACCTAAAAGAAAGTTTAGGTAGATTTCTTTGTGGTTTTAGGATTTTTTTTCTGTAAACTTCTTAAATTAGATTATCAAAGACAATAAGGAATTGTAATACCCAGTTTGTGTGCAAATGTGATTAAGAGCCAATAGAAGCATAGTTTGCAAATAAAGAACACTTTCCCTTGTGGCCTTGATTTAAATTGTGGTTAAACTGTATTATACTGACTCACCCCTGGTTCAGTTCCAAACTGTACTTACCCATTGTCTTTAACTTGCCCATCCACTCATTACTTCATTCTTCATCTAAATAGAGAGTCATTCACTAAGAATGTCGGCCAATTAGGAATGAAAAGTCCTTTTACTATTCTAATCTCCCCATCTCTAACAGGAAATCAGCAACATTTACTTTGTAAATAAACTACAAAGCTGGAGGAGAATTCATTTCTCATAAAATCCCAGGTCACAGGTGGTACTTTGGCAATTTTCTGTATATCATTCTTTGCTATTCATTGGAAAAGCTGGGAACAGGGGCAGCTAGGTGGCGCAGTGGATAGAGCACCAGCCCTGAAGTCAGGAGGACCTGAGTTCAAATGTGGCCTCAGACCAAACACTTGACACTTACTAGCTGTGTGACCCTGGGCAAGTCACTTAACCCCAATTGCCCCCCCCCAAAAAAGCAGGGAACAGCAAAAGAATGAGGTGCAGAAAATTTCAAGTGTTACCTGAATATTCTCGCTGGAAGGTTTCTCACTTTATAACTGATTCACCAGGTGACCTTAGAATGTTGTTGATTTCTTCACCTGTTGACATATTGAGGGTTCCAAGTAAGAGTTACAAAAGCACTTTTAATCATTTGTTGACATTATTGATCTGTTTCCTCATACATTGTAAGGAATTTATATGTATGTATATTTAAATACTCAGATAGATCTATGAGCTCATAAATTTGGGAAACTTCCTCTAATGATTCCTGCTCATCTTGTCCATCTCTGCCCCAAAGTTCGCCACAAGGAGTCCATCCAACAAGCTGGAACCTTGCCTCAGTTTCCCTTTTTCTTCCTTCCCCACTCTGGCCACCCAGACCACATACCACTACTAAGACTACTACTACTACTAGCTAATATTTATATAGTGCTTACTATGTGCAAGGCACTATACTAATCACTTTACAATTATTATCTCATTTGATCCTGCTAGCTGAGAACAAAGTCCAGAACAGAAATACTTGAGAAAGAAGCAGAGGGAGGGAAGAGATGAAAAAAGGATGGCACACTTTCTGTGTGTCTGTAAACAAGCAAACAGTAGCTGACTGATCAGTATGGAGGCAGTTTTCAGATAAGACATGTGGGTTGTATGTGTATAACAGGAGAAAACTCCTCACATTTCTTCTATCAATCTTTGGATCTATCTGGATTTATAGTTAGCATAATGTAGGTCCTGAGTTAAGCATTAAACAAATCTGATCTCTAAGCAACAGGTGTGGTTTCTCTGTCATGCAGGGTTAGGTTCAAATGACGCAAGAAAATTTTCCCACAATCCTCACAGCAGCCCTGGGAGATGGGTGTTATTATTATCACCATTTTACAGATGAGGAAACTGAGGTAAACAGAAGTAAAATGACTTGCCCAGAGTTACATAGCTAGTGTCTGAGGCTAGGTTTGAACTTAGGTCTTCCTGATTCCAAGTCAAGCACTCTATCCATTGCATCACCTACCTGCCATCTGGGTCATTTGACTGCTGATATCCATTGGATAAAATGGGACTCATCAACTCTATTTCTTCCAATAAAGTGGAAGACCACTAGACCCTACTGCCTCTATGCCTTTTAGGTCCTTGGGCACTTTCATCTGACTATTGATGCAATCCAAGGATAGAACAATCTTGTCATCAGCCCTGAGAACTTCCAGGTCTTTCCATCTGCCCTCCACCTGAACTCTCTTCTATGTGTTGTCTCTTCCAATTAGATTGTGGGCTCTTTGAGAGCAGAAACTATCTCCTTTTTTTCTATTTGTAGCCCCAATGCTTAACATAGTGCTTGGTACACACTATGTGTTGATTAAATGCTTTTTCATTCATTCATTCATTCATTTAGAGACACACATGGAACACTTCTGGTTCCTTGTGCCATCCCTCACTCTTGCCACTGTGACCAACCCATTTTCTCTTCCTACCATACAATTCCTTACAATATAACAAAACCTGGTTAATGGCAGTATTTAGGCAGAAACTAAACCACCATCTATCAGGTATTTGCTGAATATAACCTCCAATGTTACTTGCAACCTACAATTTCATGATTTTTATTGTGACAGTAATATCTCACCTATTTGGAATGGAATTGAAAAGTGAGAAATAAGAATACACATACCCACCCACATCATAGGGAAAAATATCTACCCAGAACCTGCCCCACACACACACCCAAGTATCTGAGCAGTCAAAATGTCACAAAATCCACATTTAAGTGCATTTATTTACTTTGCTCTTTGCTCTGAGGAAAGTTGCTATGATCCTCATTCAGAACCTACTACTACTACTACTACTACTACCACCACCACCACCACCACTTCTACTGCTACTACCACCAGTACTACTACCACCACCATCACTACTACTACTACTACTACTACTACTACTACTACTACTCATACGCACACATTGTGTTGCATCTTAATCATCTTTCCATCTTCCTCAGGATCTAACACAATGCTTTTCATATAATAGGAATTGAAAACTAAAATTCTGTGAGACTTGATGCAAACCTGATGATCTGGTTCCCTAGCCCGTAGATTAAAAGCCAAAAGCCAGAAGGGGAAATAGAGGTTTTTATAGCTGGGTATCTAGACAGCAATGAGACATAACAACTAATGGCAAATGCAAGAGGAGAGAGAGAAAAAACTACAAAAGGAGCCAAAAAGAACCAGCAGAGTCCAGCAATCTGGGACCAATTAATACAAAGACAAATAACTCTAAAATAGCTTCAAAGGTCCTGATGTTGAGAATGACTTTCAGTCGTCAAATATATATGTGTGTATATGTATATATATATATATATATTCAGTCTTCTCTGTTCCACTCATTTCAATAAACTTTCAAGAGAATTATATATCAGATACCATGTTAGGTCCTGAACCTACAAAGACAAAAATGACATCCCCTGCCCTCATGGGGCTTGCAATCAGCTGGAAGCAGAGAAATCTGTTAACACATTTTAGAAAGGTTTTAATTCAAAGTATCTAAGTCTTTCAAAGTTGTAGTGCTTAAGGGGACAAACCCTTGACCATTCATAGTGATTTATTCTTTCAGAGTTCTGTATAGCAAGTCAAGTTGACAAGCATTTATTA